GCTCCTAACTAAATTATTATAATCTTCAGTTTATTGGCTACGACTTCTAACTGAGCATCATCGGTGTTTATAATTTTGCACTGTCTCTGGAAGTCAGCATTGCATTTACAAATGATTATTTTTAAAGTATCTAATTGTCAAGATGAAAAAGAGTGTACATTTTTCTTAAGAGTACGGCTTTGGAAAATATAATGTCATGTGAAATTAAGTTGAAAAAAAATATTGAGTAAACTAGATGATTTACTACAGTTTATACAGAATCTTGAAAATTAGGGTTAACTATAATGTACAAATTTAAAATAATCTACAATGATTTATATTCTATCCTCTGCCATTTACACAAAACTAAGATGAGGTACAAAAATTAAGCAATATTTTGAGTTTCCCTGAGAATGCCAAATAACTGGTCTGAGTTTTCTCTAACTAAATTGACTATGAAGCCAAGTTTACAGCAGATTTTTGGCTATAGAAACACAAAAAGCTTATCAATAAATGAGGCAACAAATAAGTTATTGTCTATATTGGGAATGAAGACATTATACTTTAAAAATCTGAAAAAAATAGCATAACATTGACTCAAAAATGACAAAGATTTCCTGTCAACTTTTGAGGAAAGTTATAATTTGATCAAAAAGATATTTAGAAACAGGGTAATAAAACAAAAGTTTTTAAATGTTCACCTTCAATTTATTTCATAGGTCACTGTTATACCATCTAATAAGATAATTAAAAACATGCAAGCAGCTGGTACTACAGCTAAACAGATTAATGTAATAGTCTGTAGTCATATGTGCTGGCAAGGGGCTTGCCTCTTTTGGCGAGGAGAAGGTCAGCTGCCCTTGGGAAGAGGAGAAGAGGAGTGGCCTGTGCTACAGTCACTAAGTTAAACATCAGCAAACTGATAATCAGGAAACGACTTTTCTTCTTTCATACCCATTAATGTTCTTCTCTCAGTTTTAATGGTTAAATAAGGAACAGAGAAAGTTCATATAATTTGGCAGACAACATTAACATTGGTCTTTAAAAAGTACAAGATATATTTCACAAAACCAACAATGTCTTCTCAAGTCTTATAAACTTTCCATTTTAATGCATCATCTGCAAATTAGTTCAGAGATACACAATCAAATTTTAACCAAAATTTCCAAAACAATATCTGGACTATTACTCAAGCATCATATAATAATTGTACTGGTGCCTTAGGAGTTAAATGCAGCTGTACTCTATCTGAATCCATGAAGCAAGATCAAAAGAAGATATAAATCCAAAGTAAACATCCCAGTTTATTAAAAAAAAAAAATCTATGAGTATTAGGCACATAAAGCTGTAGTTACGGTCCATTCATTTTAAATTTTAAAATTTATTTGTCAAAGTCCCAGATATCATCTCTGAATTTATAGTAAAATATCCTCCTTTCATCTTTACTAGGTATTCAAATTTGTTATTCAAAGGTAACCTGAAATATGTGTCAGAGATTGAGAGTGTCAAATCTCAGGTTAAGCTTGTTCTTAAGCACTCTTTCTGCTAACAGACAAAAAATTTATTTTCTTGTAAAACATATTTTTTCTCTTCCTTTTGGTATATTAGATCACTGTAACAATTTCTATAATACCAAAAGGTTAGTGATGACAATGATGATGACATTGTCTGGAATAAAAAAGTAACTAATATTTATTCAACATTTACCATATGCCATTATCTGATTAAACTCCTCATATCAACTGTATTTTATCATCTCCACTTCAAAGGTGAAGAAACTGAGGGTGAGACTTGTCCAAAGTATTCAGAGTATTTACAATCAGGATCTGAACCAGCACACTATGTTTAAACATTGTTTTAAAAAACAGACCAGGTGCAGTGGCTCACACCTATAATCCCAACACTTTGGGAGACCAAGGCAGGCAGATTTCTTGAGCCCAGGAGTTTGAGACCACCCTGGGCAACATGATGAAACCCCATCTCTACAAAAAACACAAAAATTACCCAGGTGTGGTGGCACACACCTGCAGTCCCAGCTACTCAGGAGGCTGAGAGGCGGGAGGATTGCTTGAGGCCAGGTGGTTGAGGCTGTAGTGAGCCAAGGTAGTGCCACTGTACTCCAGCCTGGGTGACAGAGTGAGACCCTGTCTCAAAAAACAAACAAAGAAAACCCCCAGAGACTATGCCCTCTTGAAACTCATAATCTAATATCATAATAATACAAACAGTGGAAAGAATATAAATTTCAGTGTCCAATTCAAGACTGAATTCAAAAGTTATTAAAATCTCAACATATGTTAAAGGATACATGTGTCTGATGGTGAATACAGGAAACAAAGTTACCCATTTACATGAAGTGAGCACGAAAGAATTAATACTATGACTTCCCATTTAGATTTTCAAAAGGCCTTTATTTTATAGGTTTTAACCCGAGTTTTTAAAACAGTTGTGGGAAGGAAACAGGTTAGGCATTATAATGCCCATTTGATAGACAAGAAACTAAAGTAAATCTTTGACACAAGTATATATAAACTATGAGTATGTTGGTGATAGGTTTAAGGCCTGTGTTGTCTAATTGTGAAGAAAGGCTAGGATTTCAGAGGCGGTTTAAATAATACAAACGTAGAACTGTCATGCAAAAGGACATCTGAGGGTTGCAACATTTACGTTTTTCTAATAACCTATTTCTAGTTAGCTTAAAGAGCTATAATGGCAACAAAAAATAATTTTTGTTTTCAAAAGTAAATTTTACTGAAAATTCTATTGCCATTTTAATGTGATTCTGCAACAATTCCTAGATTTTGTCAGTTAACCTTAATTGAAGCTATACCACAGAGCTGTGCTTCTATGAATTCTACACTTAACCCAAGTGTCAAATCCACAAGTAAGCTCATTATAAGAGCTATCACCTACTGAGTAGAAAAATATTCATTTCATACCTTAAATACTATAACAGTATTTAACAGTGGCACTGGCCTGCCAACTATTAAAAGCACATTTTTACAGACTGTATTACTTCAGCTTTTTATCTTCCCTTTTTAATTACAACAATAAATTAATATTCTAACATTACAACATTGATTTTTAATCAATGTCTGTCATTTTTAAACAATGACAGACATTGATTAAAAATATTTAGTTAACAACATTAGTATTTATTGTGCAAAGCTACACTAGGAGTTACTTTTCAAAATACAATTATCATTTAATAATACTAAGATACTTTATTCAAGAACAAAAAAACACCCAAGATAATATTATACCTTCACTTAATATAAAGTTAAGAGAAATGTTTCATTTCTCTTATGAAATGAATGAAATGAAAACATTTCTCTTAACTTTATATTATATCCACTATTTACTATAATTGGCTAAAATACAAATGTAATTGTAAAATACAATTCAACAACAGAATTTATACACATATAATGGGATTTTCCTTCTTTTGAAATATATTAGTTTTTCTTTTTGTCTCATTTATGTTTAATTGTATTTATACCTAATAAATTATCATCATAGATTTCATATATTACCATCTTAAGATTCCTCTGTTACATGTCAAATCCTAATATTTATTTAACTATCTTTCACATTTACTTTTTTGGTTATTGTTACAATCAGCTGTGACACACTCAAATAGGAGATTCTACCTATTGTTTAGTATGTCAAATACAAGCTTTATATTATGCTTTAGGACTCAGAAAGCATTTGGACAATTCCAATATTTATAAGGTAGGATGGATATAGTGAAAATTTAACAACAACATATGAGTTTTACTGCTGTGATAATACCCTTCTAGAACACCATGGAAAATAAGCCTTTTGTGGTATCTGTGACACTTGAACAACTGATCATTTATACAGACCCCAACTAGCATAAAATAAAAATATCAAGTGTTTCAATTACCATCTCATTTCTGAAATTCATAAACAAATTGTAAAAACTTGTTTCATTTACTACATTTTTGTCTAGTTCCTCCTGTATAAAAGGTCCGATTCTAGATGTTAAAAGCCTGCCTGAAATCTGAAGAAATAAATGACACAGTTCCAATTAAGACTATAAAATATGTATACAAATAAAAATATAAACTAAGCATAAGTTCCACATTTATTATAGATAAGGAGACACAGTTTAATATTCAAATTAGTTTTCAAATATACAGTGGCTCTTGCATATATTTTATAGTTTTGTTACACAAGTATCAGAAGTAATTAACCATAAGGACAATGTTGGCCAATTAAATTGTTTCTTCAAGAATCTGCATTGCCATCTATAATGTTAAAATGTATCATTATTGAATTTGCACTTTTTTCCTAAAAGAAAATAACCAATTTCTTACACCACTTTGGCTCTGTATATAAATTTTCAAGTATTACTGAAAATACTTTAATCTTTCTTGTTCTTCAGTTTCCAGATATAAGGTACAAATTTCATAAACATTTACTGTTTATGAAAGTAAAATTCAAGTCATGAGGAGAATATAAAGAAAGGATTAGGTAAAATACATATTTTCTTAGTGTATCCTTTTAAAAATATTACTAATTCAGAAGTAATAGCCCTGTTTACTAAAGAACTTAAACAGAATATTAGCAAACAGCACTTAATTCAACCATGAACTACATTTTAAGCTCTCTTAGGCGCTCATGAGCGGTACTATATTTTAGCAGGAAAATTAAAAGGAAGCTTTAGTAATGTAACAGATATACTGGAAAAACAAAAATGGATTATAATGAAGCTGAATACTACATGTGCATATGTTCCAATTACCCTACTATTGGCTAACAACAGATACTGCAGTAAGTGCATTTACTCAAAAATTTGGAATATTATATTTTTCTGTAACTTATTAATTGCAGAAAATAACATTAACACAATATTGTTCACATTGGTCACCTTGTTAAAGCACAAATAGTGTTTCCTTACTATTCTAGATCAAAACCCTATATAATTATATATCTTATACATTATCTTGTAATATTATATGTGTATATGTATATATATACATGTATTCATCACCTACCTATAGGAATTAAAAGTCCCTTCAGAGTCTAAAGTAGAACTTGTTCTTCTTCCATTTTTATTTGAATCTCCTGGAGAAAAAAATTACAACACTGAAATAATGGAGATAAACTGAGTATTTCAGTTGAAAAACTGTGTGAAAGCTAAATGCAACATATTAGCCAAAAAGCATATATCCTCTCCCCCTTCCCCAAATTATCTTTTGTACTCAAAGCTTTTTAGGTAAAAAATTCATTTTGATTTCAAAATATAAACCAATGCCAATCCTAGACTGGATAGTAACAGTACCAAAGTAAGTGCTATCAGGAACAAATGAAGCACAGTACCAACATTTTCTTCTTATGAATCACAGACAAAACTAAAATTATAAACCAGTATAAAGAAAGGCAATTTTTTGTTGGTGACCAAGTCACCCATCCTGATCAGTGGTACTGTCAAAAGAGAGCAGGCAGAGAGCCAACCTGGATGATTTTCCAGGTCCTTGTTTGACGCTCTCTAGCAATTTAGTAAACAGAGGTAAAATAAAAAGCCAACTTGAGAGGTAGTGATTAATTAATGAGCTTTTAATATGCCTTACTTAATATTCTTTACAAAACTTTAACTGTTAACTTTAGGTTTCAACTGTCAAAAGTTTGGCAATTTAAAACATGAAAAAGGAACAACATCAAAAGGTATTTGTCTCCTATAATAATATCAAACATTGAGAGAAAAAATTTTTACCCAAAAATCTGTCATATTCATAAAATCTAATTTAGAACAAATTATACATATCAATTTAAAGACTATAGAATAAAAGTAAATGAACTAAAGTTGGAAAAAATGCTTACCAATGCCCCAATGTTATATATTCTTATTGACTGAAATTTAATGGTTCAATTTTTTAAAATATACACTTCAAAGTACAGCTTTTATGAAATCATAGTATGCCACTATTAAAAATGTTATTTGTTTTTCAAAACAAATTAAAAGTTTAGAATACGATTATATTTTATACTCTTAATTCATATAATATAACTTTGAAACATCAGGTCATATTCCATTTTTGTAATATTTACAGCATAATATAACAATGATTTATCCAATTTTATACTTTTAATATACTTTGAACAACTGAAGGTGCAACAGGAAATCATCACAGTGGTCGTGGATAAGTCAAACAGTAATTACAGAGTTTTCACTTTAAAGATGAGATTATTTTTAATTATTGAGTACAGTATCTAAGGTACTATACTTATATAATTATGCTACTCATTAAATGGTTACTGAACGCTGAAATGTAATTTTAATGATAGCTACCTATCTTTCTTTACACATTTTATAGTTGACAGATAGTAAAGAACACTGGTTCTTTTTTGAGAGTTTGGTGAGATATGTGCAGCTGTGCCAGCATTCAGGAGAAGCGGACTGAGCCCGCTTATTAAACTTTCAACTCTACTCTTTTTTCAAAATACTGTTCCAGTTTATTTTGTTTTTTGAAAAAATAAAAAATCCTAAAAAGGATTACAACACTTAAAAATGGTGACAATTTATAGAAGAAAATAATCCAAAAACATATAAATGTTTAAAATTAACCTAGCTAGGTATATGTTGCTAATTCTTTGAAAACATGGGTATGGTAATATTACTCATACAACACCCTTCCTTTTCTTTTAAAAATTAATAATATTATAATAAACTAAAAAGATGTAAGGAAAATTAGTCTCTATCTTGCTAAATGAAAATTTCTACAACACATGTTATTTAACAGCTTGCAGACATTTCCTGTGAAACATTCCATAATCAGCATAGAATAAGTACTATATTATACATTTAAAATATGAGCTTCTTTCTCCTTAAAATTATGATTAAACATGAAAAATAACACCAATAGAATAGTTCTTCCTTTAAGCTGATGTTTATCAGATCAAATATAAAATCCTTCAAATAATTAAGAGACTTTTGGCTTCATAAACAACCAGGTTTTATCACATTATAAAGGTTTTCTTTAATTTATAACTGTTTCCGAAAGAAAATATCACATTAAATATAACTTTCAAGGTGCAAAAAAATGGTAATGGGGGGAAAAAAAGCAGTTTTTCTTTCTCAAAAACATACCAAATAAGGAGTACAATTGTTTCACTAACAATATTAGAGAAAAGATTTCAGAGTTGGCTATATGAGGAAAAGGCAATAAAGTTTTGAAGCGGGAAAAACGCTTTGTTCCCTCAATCCTCTAGTTGAAATTAATTATAGCAAATGTTTATGAAAACATCTGTTCCTTACAGTTATAAATTCTTAATTTTAGTATGGACGATCTCAGACTCTTATTTTGGAAGGAAACTGTCTGACTATCGAAAGGTTTACAAAAGAACAGACAGAATCTGTAATTCTGTAAAATTGTGTATACAATGTGCTACATCCTGTAGAGATTTTACTTGGTGTGAAACATTTGGAGAGGCTTACTACCGGTAACTAGGAGAAATCAAAGACAAACAGAAAGGCTCATTTTTCATTTAAGCTATAATATGATAAAAAACATATCTGTAACACCAGAAAACAACTTCTGCCAGTTTGGGAAATAAACAAGTGTTACTTTACTACTGAATCTAATTTGGAAGTAAGTATAATAAAATAAGTATTAATTTTATAAGAGATTAAAGTAAATGAAATGACAATACAATCATGGGAACGTATATGTAGCATTTCCCAAAAATAACAACAGAGGGTGCAAGAGAGTTTACTATGATGTTTTTACTTGCTATTTTGATCCCTGAACTGAGTTGTCAGGTAGCCATAACTGTAACAAAGATGCATCATACACACACACACACACACACACACACACACACACACACACACACACACAAATACAGTATTAATGTAATCTTACACAAAGACTATTAAATGGTCAAATAGCACAAATATCTAAAATGTGCTTTAAGATAATAGACTTCCTTTTACTTACCTGAAAAGTAGTTTAACTAATAAGCAACTTTTAGAATACAGTTGTATCTTTAAAGATATTTCAATATCTAATGTAAAGTAATCAGTAAAAGAATCTAGATGTCTTCATTGAGTATATTTCGAATACATGCACGAATTATATATAATAAATAACATGTGTTACTATATATTTAAAACATTGTACAACATATATCTATAAGAACAATTCATCAATTACTTGTGACCATAAATTTGAAATTTATACAACATTCATTTCTCATTAATTAGTATGCAACTTTCCTAATGGGTTCATAATATTCACAATTAAAATAAATTGCTGATTTGCAAAAATATGCTGACAGTTACATTAGTTTAAATTATAAGAAAGTGCATAATATTGCCTAATATTTCTAACATGAGTATCTAACTTATGAAGCCAGGAAGTATAACTATGACTTAAATTTCAAAACAGAATGAATGGAATTTCAGACTCCCTTTTGGCTTTAACTGAGGTCATGTTTAGCAAAGGGCATTTTTGGTTCCATCTGTGCACTGTTGAAATCTTTCTAAAGGGAGGTTTACAATAGATTTCTGTAGTATTTTTTAATACACAAACATCTAGTTCATGAAGAGAGAACCAGAGATTTTTAAACTAGGTTAAGTTAAAAACAGCCAGAATAACACTATAAATAATCACGCCTACTCAAATGTGTCTTCAGTTTACATGTGAAAACATCAAATTTTAGAATATCACATCACACTAGGTATGAATTCTGAAAAGTATTACATAATAAAGAAAAGGTTTTATCTTTGAATCATTAGAGAACTGTCAGCATACACAGTCTGGGGTATTTAATAGTAAAATGGGAAAAAAGACTTGGTTCAAAATGAAAACAAAGCTATGAGTTTACTGTAAAGACCTGAAAGCCTTTGTGTTTTTTAAAGGAATTAGTATATAGCAATGAAATGTTTTAGTTAAATTTAAAATCCTTTAAAAAAATAAATGATTTTTTTAAATCTATGAATAAAGTATATTCATGTATTGGCACACAGTGAAAGCAAAGCATAATGACTCAGCATTATCCATAAAGTAGCCACATCATTTGTGAAATCAGGCAAACCATTAGCCACCCCAAGATAACTATTTATGCTAAAAATCCAGGACCACTCATTAGATCTATGAGCCAGTGCTGAAATCAATACAGAAAAAAAATTCATGAATTTTATAATTTTCAATTTTCTTTATTATTGTTAATGTATTTACATTCTAATGATTTAATAGCCATATTTAGTTCTCTAAAGAATGTCTTAAAATAAGTATTGTAGATAATAAAAACTCAGATGTAAAATAAAAATTCATAAGAAGTCTTAAATAAAATACATTTTCAAGTGGACCATTTTGAGAAAAGGATGTTTTGTTATCAAAGGTTCCTATTAAACCTTTAATAGAACTCTTTTTTTTTTTTTTTTTTTTTTTTTGAGGCGGAGTCTCGCTCTGTCGCCCAGGCTGGAGTGCAGTGGCGCGATCTCGGCTCACTGCAAGCTCCGCCTCCCGGGTTCCCGCCATTCTCCTGCCTCAGCCTCCCGAGTAGCTGGGACTACAGGCGCCGCCACCACGCCCGGCTAATTTTTTTGTATTTTTAGTGGAGACGGGGTTTCATTGTGTTAGCCAGGATGGTCTCGATCTCCTGACCTCGTGATCCGCCCGTCTCGGCCTCCCAAAGTGCTGGGATTACAGGCTTGAGCCACCGCGCCCGGCCAATAGAACTCTTAAAAACAAAAGACAGAAAGCAGCATGACATCAGCAAGATGGCAGAGTTTGAAACTCCAAGTAGTACATGTCCTCCTACAGAAACACTGAAAAACAAAAAGTAACTCTTAGGACTTTGTAAAAGCTGTAATCAACAGTCAAACATTTTCCAAAGCAAAATGAACACTGAATCGTAGTCCCAGCTACTCGGGAGGCTGAGGCAGGAGAATTGCTTGAACCCAGGGAGGCGGAGCTTGCAGTGAGCTGAGATCCGGCCACTGCACTCCAGCCTGGTCGACAGAGCGAGACTCCGTCTCAACAAAAGAAAAAAAAAAAAAAATTCTGTGCTTTTTACACTTGCCATTGCCCCACCCCCTCCCTGGCACTGTAGCAGTGTGA